ATCACTAAGTGCTAATGAGTACTTGGTAGTCTATACTAATACTTTAGTGAATGCTGAACAAGTTTAGATGTTAAGCTTTTTAGGAAGAATGAATGATGGCTAATGATTATTTAATGACAGGTCCCTGGACTGAAAGGCACTTAGGACTCAAAGTGTACTGCAAATCCTATTTCTCAAAGCTTCAGACAGGTTTATTTGGTCTCACCTTGAATAAAACACCGTTGTATTGGTTTCATTGGTGTGGATTTAAACACATTATCAGCTTAGAATAGCAGCAGCTACGCTGCAGAAAATCAGTGTCTTAATCCTTGTGGTTGCTGTTAGCTACTCTTAAATGTTTTCATTACAGACTCATTGAAATTTCTAACAAATTTAAACTTGAATATTTCAATATTAACTCATTATTAAAGAAATTGAATTTCGCAATCACATATTTCAAGGAGTCCGTAATGAATAAAATGAAATAAGCTTACTAGAAGGATAAGGATTTACAGATGGGTTCTAATCCCATACTAAGATTTCCGATCATACTTTTTATTAGTGTATGTCCATGCTGTTAGAGACAAAGCCCTTCAAATTAGAACTTTAAACTAAGGTACCTTCTGCTCATTTCTGTATGTAAATGATTGCATGATTGGTTTTGGAAAGAATACACTCTAGTGTTCTGGTCAGTATTTCGTTTACCAGAGGAGGTTTTAACATTCTGTGCTATGTTTGAGATACTTCATTATGTAGTCACTATATTACTGGTGTCCAAATCATGGGAACCTCAAAAAGGCAAGTCACGCTGTTTAAAAAATTCTGTTGTAAATGTTACAAAAATATTCTGTGTATTATTAATATAAATGGCTATTCTTGTTAACCACAGAATGTTTCCTGCAAAAGCAAGATATTGCAATTTTTTTAAAATTTTAAATGTTTAAATATAAAATAACTGTACATGATTTTATATGAAAATTAAATAGAAAAAATCTTGACTTTTACAATATTATAGTATACTTGTAATATATTATAATATTGCCACTCCATTACCTTTCCTTTTGGGGAAAAATATGCCCCTGCCTTGATCTCATAACTAATGTTTCATAAACTGGATTTTTAAATGGTGTTTTGAGTGCTCTCAAGCTATCCAAATATGCATATCTTCTGTCTAGAAATTGTACATTACAAACTGCAGAAAATTTTGGCAAAATCTGCAGTGAGATATTTTTCTTTAAAAACATGAAATTTTACTTGCTTTCTTATTTCTACTTGGCCCAATGTGTAATATTTTAGTAGCATCTATCTGTATCTAAAACAAAGAGATCATTAAAGACACTAATTAGATTGTTAAATTGAAGTGCCTGTACTTCTCCTGGGCAAGTTCTATATGAAACGTACAAAATTCTAGAAGGTGTGCCACAGGAGTCCAACACTTTATAAATGACTACATGGTAAACTACTTTTTCACTCTTAATAATTAAGGTCAGTAGGTAGTATCTCAATTCTATGAATAATTAAAAGACTGTTTAATAGCTAGACTGGTAGCCCTATAGTTAGTGCATTAAACTACTGCATGAGACCCACGTTTAATTCACAGTCTTGATCCCCAGGCCAACCTAATATGGGAGGGCTATGAAAGTATCAGATTAAGATGTTTCTGAGGAGGGAGCACCTCATATTGACCCCAATTTTACAAGGACTGGCATTGATTTTCTCCAGTGAGAATCCAGTCCAGTCTCTTAATGTTGGGGAAGGAAAGAATAATGTCCATTCATTGGCAGTAGAGGAGGAGAGTTCTCCATTAAGGATCAAGGAAAAATATAGGAGTTTATCCATTTAAACCTTTAACCTTTTTTTCTGCAGCATAAGCTTTTGAATGTGCTGTCAGGACATGACAGATAGGTGCACCCACATTAGATGTATGTTTATTACAGATAGCCATTAAAAACTTAAAATATAGTAACGTTGTTGGGCTTTAGAGTTAACAATCACTGAGAAGTTCCTCCCTCTTTTGTTGTTTGTTGTCAGGCTTCCAGATTCAAGATAGCACTGTATTGGTTTGCATTCTAAAGGTCATGGTGGCAATCAAGCTACAAACTAATTTAATTTAAAACAAAATTAGAAATCAAAAAAGAAATCATCATCATAAGTTGTATAGAAAACCAGTTCTGGAGATATCTCTGTGGGTGCAGTAATGGTCTCATTCTTCTCTCACTTGCATTGGTTTAAATATCAGTAAATCCATGGAAGTCCACATAATTATCCCAAGGTAAAATAGTTGTAGGTAAAAGAAGATTCCTAGCTCATCAGTATGTGTTGGAATTTCCATCTCCATAGAGGTTTTTGCCCTATTTAACTGATATTTGTTGTGTGCTCAGCCAAATAGAAAGCTGAAAGAAGGGAGGAATTGGTTGAAAGGAGCAAACTATACTTCCCCACTCCCCTCTTCTATGCCCCCCCCCCAAAAAAAGTTGGATGTATAAGTTAAAGTTGCACAAAGGCAGCTTAACTTTCATATCCAGCACTTACTCAGCAGATCAACACACTGGGTTTCACAGACCTTGGCAGCGTTACACGGATGATATTTTCACATGACTGAATGTTCTTTTACAATTTTTCCAGCGTTCAGTATTTGAGGTTTCTTGCTGAGAGCTTTTTGTTTAGCATTAAGCATGTACATCTTCTGTTTGCATTTATTCTTTCTTTTAAAAACCTTGTTCTGTTCTCTAATGACACTGCAAGTAGTATATAAATGTGGTAAGGGAATTTTGAGAACTTGTTCCATATGTCAGGTTTCAGAGGAACAGCCGTGTTAGTCTGTATTCGCAAAAAGAAAAGGAGTACTTGTGGCACCTTAGAGACTAACCAATTTATTTAGTCTCTAAGGTGCCACAAGTACTCCTTTTCTTTTTGTTCCATATGTGTTTGTTTGGGGGTAAATGTTGTAAGTGGGAAGAAGTCACTGAATATCCTTGCCCCATTTCATTAGAATGACCTTTGACAAAATATGTGAGGTGACACTTTTCAAGCATTTAAAGATCCAGAATCTGAATTAATATGCATAGAACCTCATTTCTCAACTGTAGCAGTTCTTTGGTATCAGAATTCTGTCTCACAGTAAAGTTGTACTGTAAATTAATCTGTTTTTTTAAGCTATGCCATACTTTACATTCACATTGCACCGAGTTATTAGTTATGATTCCATCAAGAGGTTGGTGAAAAACAGGAAAGATTCATTGAAATAGGAGCCTTAATCAGATTTTATGGGACCAAATTTATCCCTGGTGAAACTCCATTGAGGCTCTACAACTAAGATCAATAGACAATTGTAATATAAATGTAAAGGACTTTAAAAAGTAGAAGTTTATCTCCATAATTAGGATAGTGGTGGTGTAGAATCCGTAACAGCTCTTAGGAGAAAGTAACATCTAAGAAAATGTGACAGCATATTTATTCTGACATCCATATATACGTGACCCATATTATTTACGACTTACGTAAGTATGGAGAGAATGATGTAAAATCTTATGACAGCAATGGTGTTGATTCTTTTAAAGTTTGAGCTAGACTAGATTTCTAATTAGGCAATCTGGACATGATTAGTTTAGAAAAGAAATACACAGGATATTCAGTCCAGCATTAGAGAACTTGATCTGGTTAGCTAGGGCAGCTCACCTTTATTATATAAAATTACTATACATGGGCAGGACATTTATAGTCCAGCAGGGGTCATGATACACATAATCTTCTCCAGTTCAAAAATAAACAACACTCCAAAATATCACAGGGTGGGTTTGTGGAGGAATTCTGTCTGTTCAGTCAGTGGAAGAAAACTACCAACATAATGAATAATAAATTTTCAGGCCCTCAGAATATTTGTACATCATAACAAGGGCTACTTTATTCATTTCATCAATGAAAGAAGGAACCATAACTCTCTGGAGGCTATATCAAGTGAATTATATTGTCTCTCTTCCCACTTGTGGCAAATATTCTGCTACCTCCCATTCTGAGTATTGCTTTATACTATTATTTTTCAGTTTTGGTTTATTTGAAACATTATTAACTCTTCATAAGGTTTGAGAAGCACTGAAATATTGTACACATTATTATTTTCTTCTATTGTGTATTGTCTTAGGAGCTAATTACCTGGGGAAAGTTGTAAAGTGGCATTTGGCTTTCTGTTAAATGTTCTGATCAATTTCAAGTGCTAGTTGTGTGCATATGATGTGCAGATTTTTTACATGCATCTAACTTAACCTTTAGTGTCCTATTTATATTGCAAATAAATTAATCTGCTGTGAGTTACACTTTTAAGAGCTTATTACAAATGTATTGGGTTAATGTATAAGTTGTGAGAAAATTGTTTTGCTTTGTCTGAGGAAGAATTATTTAAATTACTCAACTTTAATTGTTGTGTAAATGTTTTCTGTGAGGGGCTTGAAAATAACCTTTTTGTATGTTCAGATTTTCCAGTTGTTGTCAACATTAAACTGCAATTATAGAATTTATTTTCATCTCATATGAATGTAAACAAATCCCATATCCTCATTGAGTTATTACATATTTGGTTTATAAAACTTCCTATCTTTTGAAAACTGTCTCCAAAATTTCAAATCCACAAACTGTCATTGGTTGTTGCTATTAATCTCTGCTTTTGCCACATTGTGTTGCATATGCTTTTCTTAACAGAAAAGAGGGTGAAAGATGGGGAGAGTGTGATAATGGCAAACAAGGGAGGATATTTTTATTTGTTTTGAGTGAAATACTCTTGAATGAAAGATACATGCCCTGAGAATATTCTCACTGAAAGTTGTTCTCTATGGGCAGTGCTTTCCAAATCTAAATTACCATGTTCGGTGTTTAATGGTAGGTGCTATAGAAGTTGCTGAGATAGATACAAGAATTGAAAGTAGGGTTTGTTTTTTGGTTAAGGTACTGGATTGAGATTAGAGTTCTAGTCATGGTTCTCCCCTTACTACTATGATCTTGGGCAAGTCACTTAATCATGCTGTGCCTCAAATCTCCATCTGCAACGAATTTGCATGTCGTCCTTGCGCAGGGACCATTATAATCTTCTCTGTATCATTCCAATTCTAGTATATGTGCTGCCAAAGCATGAGTAATATAGTCCTTTTCTCCCACCCTTTGTCTTTCCTGTCTATTTAAACATTGATCATGTAATGGGTTCTCCACTGGCGGACCCCCTGCACCCACACAGTGCCCCATTTGTTTAATTAATTTGCTGCGTTGAACAAACTCATTAAATCTGTTTATTTCTTGTTTTGTTTGATAGAAAGTCTTGTATATGTGCATTATACATAATCACGCTTGAAATGTGTCTCAAAAATGACAAGGTATGCCATGGAAAGCAGAGGCTGGAAGCTCGATGTTTGTTAGTTTTCTCCAATGAGGAATATTATGATATAGATGTTTATGGGTAATGATTAAATCTTACTGATTACATTCACATGTGTAGCATTCTACATAAATGGCTAAAATATTCAAGTTTATAGTCCACCGTATTTTTATGTAACAGCTTTGTGTCATCTCATAGCACTTGATTGGGGCACAGCTGGAAAACATCCTGGATGGACTCAAACCAAAAGAGGCATCATCCACTCTGGGAAAACTACGTTAGCAACACATGTTCTTATGGGTTATCCTTACAGTAATACATTGTCCTGGCATCTACTTGTCTGAGAGTTTAATACCTAATACAATAACAGAGTACCATCAATATGTTCCTAATAGCAGATATAAAGTATCTGGTAGTAGTCCATCTCTCATAAAACTGCCTTTAGCCTTAATTCAAATTCATTGATTCCTATTCCAGTTAAACCTGAAGAACTTAATATGTCTTTTAATCCTTTTATTGGAAGCTAAGATAAAATTAATTTTACCCTAGAACTCTGCAAAGCCAATTAACATGATCTTTAGAGTTATTTAGTAAAGTGCTTCAAACTGTTAAATTTATCCTGACCTCGTGGTTGCACTCTGACTGCTTTTTAAATGAAGTAATCAATATCTCACAGCCCTTTAAACAGTTTAACTTCTCAAATATTTTACTCATATTTTTATTTGAACAGTTTAGAAAAATATTTACTCATATTAAGGTATCTGTAGAGACAATTGTTAACTACTGGCTTTGTTTTAGTATTAGAGATTTTATGCTTTGAAATATATTTTAATATGTGTTCATTTTGCTAAATCTGAGCAAATGAAGAAATCTGTCACTTCTATTTGTGTGTAATACAGTAAGTTTGTTATCTGTATGGCTTAAAATGTAGAACATTTTCTCCTTTCACCAGTGTAGCTTCTTTTTTCCACATAAAGCTATTTGAGGTTATTAATTTTCTCTCTGTGATAGGGTGATCAACCGTCCTGTCAAGAAAATGGATCTCTGTGTCACCCTTTAGCATGATTAAATGGAGGCACGTTGCTGTGAGAAAATACCAAATTTTCATGAGACAAATGCAACTGTAGAAAGGACTTTTTTTATAGACATTTCATTTTAAAATCTCCCATTTGGCTGTCAGTTTATTTGTAGGAAATCATTACAATTAATTGTGTGTTCCTACTAATAATTCAAAGAAAGTAAGGGCAAAAACAAGTGCTCACTGAGATTTTTTTTTTCCTTTGAAGGAGGAAAAAAAATACCGTGGTGAGAGAGAAGGAGCAATTTATGTTGGTACAATGAGGTGCTAATGAGACTGTCAGAACTACATTACCTCCACCCTGTTTTGGTCACAGCATTTACTGCTTTGTTAACAAAGAGTCAGAATCTTGCAATCTAGAGACTCTTGAGAAGTACAGTTGTAAGACTTGCTGAGATTTAAAATCCTATATGCTTCATATACAGGCCATGAGTGGCAGTGGCAGCTAGTGAGTCTATAAATCGTGAGATAAATGCATAATAGCCTACTTTTTAGAATATAATTAAAATATCTGGCAATAGGGCAATTGATAGTTTACCTTTAACTTCAGAATTCTGGCATTATGGGCCAGGCACCTGTTAATGGGTTACTTGTTAGTTTAGGGGTGAAACTTGACAGGTTTATTGGCCTTGGCTTATGTTTTTAAGGATATTGTTTTAAAAGACATCCTTCACGGTACAATAAAGGGTTAATTCAATATTATTGTAATCAAACAGAAGGAAGAACAACAAAGTGGGGGCAGGAATTCACCAAGTGCCTCTGTTGTTTAATTTCCTACTGGAAGCAGCACATGTGTTTTTTCTTTCTTTTCTTTTCTTTTTTCTTTTTCTTTAAGCAGTGGCCATTGCAGAGGCTGAGCGGCTGGGGTCAATGCCTTGCCTATTGATCAGTATCCCTGCAGTTCCCTGCTCCAGCATCTGCTTCATTGGCTTCTTTCAGTGCCTGCTTCAGTACATTAGAATAGAAATCCATAACCAGAGCTGTGCTCATCCAAGCAGGGGAAGAAACTAAATTAAATGGTATAAAACAATCTTGGATCAGGAGTTTGTGCCAATTCATCTTGATCTAAGATGTCACACCGGGCTCTCTGTCTGAGCACCTGGGCTAGAGGCGGCCATAGTGAAAATAGATGGAGCTGCGATCATTCATTTGTCAGCTAAGGAGCTCGGCAGCGGTTAGCAATTCCCTTCTGCAGAGGTCAGCTGACAGAACAATCAGTGCAACTGCAGAATAGAGCTTCCCTTTGAACTATTGTTATGGAGCATGCTTCTTGCTGGGCTGGGGGAGGGGAGCATGGTTTGCTTCGTGTTCCAAGTATGCTATATAAAACACATAAAGGATAATATATTTATATATCAAAATCTCAGGTACCATTCGTGTGTTGTATATCTTAATTATGTATATGTGAAATAAGTTATAAAAAAATAAAATGTTTAAGTATCACTTTGTTTGTTTATAGTCCATTTTCATCCTTCTTTCTGGGAAGGCAGTGACTATTGATTTTTTTCCCCCTTAGCATTGTTAAGGTTTTAGATTCCCCCCCCCCCCCCCAATTGGTTGGCATATCACAGTCATAGCTACAGCATCATTACCTGAATTGGGGCTATATTCTAATAGAGATTCTTATACTTGTTTTATTTTTTAAGTAATATTTACTTTTCTATTAGTACAGTAGTATGAAATTCACTAGAAAAGCTAGACATACAGTAGACCCTCACTAATTCACACTTCATTATTCAAACCTAGTATTTTCTCACAGTATACCAGGTGGTCTCTTCCAACTTCTCAACAAAGATTTAATCCCAGAGTTCTGCGAGAGCTAAGACGTCATTACTTTTGCAAGATATATGCCAGTGAATTTGCTGGTGTAATTTGAGTTATTATTATAAGTGTATCTGAACTATAGTTGTCAAAATATATGAAGAAGGTACATTCTTTTGGGGGCGTTAATTATGGTTGTGCGGTTACTCCCTAAATCACAAAATGTGGTAATCTGCAGTACTTGAGGGAAATAAAAAGGTTGTGTGCGATATATTGGATTATTAATAACTATATTTGAAATTTTGCAATGAGACTTTTCCCCTCGTTTTAGCAAGCACATTAGTTAATATTCTGTAATTAGCATCATGAGATCGAAAATTATTTGCACAGTGCCATGTAAAAGTAATCATCAAAAAAGAAGAGGATGGTCACTTAAATAACAGCTTTTTATAACATGAAAAATATATGTATTTTAAAAAGTCTATTTCGTAGACTGTTTCTGTGAAGATAACCTGTTTGTCTTAAAGCAGATTAATACTGATGTAAATAAGAATCAAGATCACAACTCACCGTCCAGAAAATACTGATTTCATAACTGCAGAATCTTAGAAGTCTTTCATTCTTTTTCAACAAACAAACCTGGAGAAACAATGAAATTAAAACAGTTTTTCCTATAAGAACATGCTACTTTTCTGTAGGTGGCACTGAAGACTGAGGAAGGGGCAAGTTGTACGTAAACTTTTAGCCTGGACTGGGGACTTTGAGAGACAAAATGGAACCAGGACCAATCACCTAAAAATTGTCTGGCTCCACATTTTCCTATAGGGGGAAGTAAGCATAGCAAACAAGTGCCTTGAGATTGAAAAGAGACCGGTTTTGTTTTCCCATTTGACCTTTGTTGTATATATTTGATGTTTTCTGACAACTCTAAATAGCATTTTCCCAGCAGTATATGTTCAAGTAGCTGAAAAGAACAGTTTTGTTATAAATATGAAAAATTCTCCTAAATATATAAAATTTGATTGGCGTGGCCTTCCACTGCTAATATTGCTGACCAATCATCCTAATGCCCTTTATTTTACATTGCAGGTTGTCTATCTGGTCTCCCACAAATGAAAAAAATATCTACATCTTATGAAGAGAGACGGAAACAAGCCACTGCTATTGTCTTGCTCGGCGTGATTGGAGCAGAATTTGGAGCTGAAATTGAACCTCCAAAACTGTTGACGAGGCCACGCAGTTCCAGTCAAATTCCTGAGGGATTTGGTTTAACTAGTGGTGGATCAAACTATTCCTTGGCAAGACATACATGTAAGTATTCTATGTTGTGTCCTCCTTTGCTCTTTTAACCACATCATAACTATGCAGTAGTTTTTATTTCAATACTCCTTGTTCACTAATAATCTCATTTTCAAAGAGTAAGGAAAAGGAACCAATTTTGAGCACTTAGCTTCAAATTAGTATGTTGACTATCAGGAAATTATTTCTGAAATATGTAGCTGAGCAATATATGAACTTTATGAATATATGGTGGGATTTTCAAAAGCACCTGAGGGAGTTAGGTTCCCCTCCCATTAAAGTCAATTGAATTCTTTCAAGGTTGGACTTGTAATGGGAATTGGTTGCCTAACTCCCTTATGTGCTTTTAAAAATTCCACCTATCAACTAGATAGTGTAGATTTATAAGCACCCAAGAGTACATGTGTGCATACCACTGCTTCTGCTTTCCCCTCAAAAATATCTTTATGGCCTAGGAAAAAGTACTAAATTAGGAACCAGGAGACCATGAGTTCTGGTCCCATCTCTTCCACTGAATGGCCTTAATTCACAGTACTTCGCAACTCTTTTTGAGCAAGGGCTGGCAAGTATAATTTACTTCCTTCCCCAATACTTTATGAATGAGAATCAGTTAAGTCACCCAG